CCCAAATCTTTTTTTGGGTAAACCCCTTTTCCACCTTTCAGAAACCCATTCCGTCCTACGTGACCTTTTTCCAAGATTCATATACTTTGTTTTCCCCATGTTGATCGTCATGCCAGCCCTTTTCAAAACTTTCACTAACGTTTCTCCCCCGAATCAAATCCATGTTTCTCTCACCAAAATCGTCGTATCGTCGACATATCCAACAATGCCCGCTCCCCCAACCCTTACATTACCCATCCCCTTTGCTTCCAATAAAACCCTTATCCCTCAAATAAAAGGATCTTGAAAACAAGCAAAAAAAAATTGTGAAGGGGAAAACCCTTGACGCAAACCCCTCCCCCTTTCTGAATTCGATCTCCCAACCTCCCTTTCACCTGCACACGCAAGGTTGCCTCCTGATACATTAATTTGGCCCATGATATAATTTCCGCCCCAAACCCCTGCCATCTCATGATCTTCCATAACGTCTCCCTTTCCACACTATCATATGCCGCTTCCCAATCTATAGCCAATACCCCCCCCCTCCTAATCTTACTCTCTCTTCAATAAAACTTCTAATCATACAGTGCCCTACATACATAGACCTGCCCGGCCCCCCATTTTGGGTCCCTTTGTCAATCACTCTGCCCAGGACTTTTTTTTATTCTTTAGCCAAGATCCTTCCAAAAATTTTGTCACCACATAATAACGAGATTGCACGATAATCTTTAACCGTTAATGGGTCACCTTAGGAACTAGGACGACCACACCCAAACCCTTTGTTGTTCCCCTAAAACCCCATCCCGCTTCATTATATTGAATAAACGTACCAAAAACCCCTTTAAAACTTTCCCAATTTTAAAAGTTTAAAAGTCGCTGGGCAATCCATCAATTCCTGGCGCCTTACCCAATTGCGCCCCAGATAAAGCCTCCCAAGTCTCACACTCCGTTATGGGCCCTCCAACATCAAACGATCATGCTCCTCCAGCTCACACTGCACAAACCTACCGATTGACTGCAATGCAATTTCACTTATTTCCCAAAACTTTGGGGTTTTCAATTTAAAACCCAAGCATCTATATACCCACTCATACCCTCCGTCGTCGTCAACACCTATTCACCCCTATACCCCTGCATACCTACCTGAACATTCAACCCCATTAACTCCATTGCTTTGCGACTCTGTGTTGATCCTCAACACACACGGGCCCACGGCCCATCTCCCACAAAACCTCTTCGATTCCCACCCTTAAGACCTTTCCCAATCAAACCTTTCGTTTTGTAAATTTCGTAGTTGCTCCTTAATTCTTTAAATTTCTAAAACAGGATAATTAGCATTCGCTTGTAATAGCGTCGCGCAACTGCCCCTCAAAAATATCTTTGGGAAACCATATTGTAAAATGATATATCCTCACCCCTTTTGACTAATATAATTTTTCCTTTTTTATCGTTTTTGGCTTTCTTTCCCCACGGGTTCGGCCCCCTGCCCAAACTAGGGGGTTAAAAATTGTTAAAACCCCGCCGGCAGTACCCACTGGGTGGTCATCAAACCCAATTGGGGCCCTCTAGCCGGCTTAGACAGTAGACCGAGGCCCACGGTAACACCTAAGCATATTACCGCCACCAAAGGGTACACGCAGGGCTTTATAAAAAAGTACCGAGCGCCTCGTTTTACACACCTAAGCGTAGGTACCTACCCCCAAGGGGTACACGACGGGTTTTTAAAAATTGTCCCGGGCCTCGCTGACAACCAAGCAGTGGGTCCCGACCCCCGGGGGGGGGGGGGAAAAATTTGGTTTATAAAGAAAAAACGTTGTAACCAAATTATACCACCGAAGGGGTAACCTCTACTGGCTTTAAGTAACAGTATTTACCAAGCGCCTCGCTTACAACCTAAGATAGGACCTGACCCCAAAGGGTACACGCCGGCTTTAGAAATATTATTACCCTGAGCGCCTCGCTGTACACACCCTAAGCATGGGTCCCTGACCACCAAAGGGGTACACGTCACTGGTTTTCAACATTAAGTACCTGAACCCCCTCGGGGTCACGTCAGCAGTAGGTACCTGCCCACCGAATCGAAACCTATCTACTGGGTTAAAAAAAACCCGCTCACCGCAGCCCACGAGTCTGTTGGCCTTTTTACTTGAGGGCCGCATTCATGGCTCGCAGGGTGTTCGGCAGCGGTGTGCAACCGCCTTTGGAGAGTTTACTGGAATCCCGGGTGTTCTGTGGCCCTCACCGTCTACTTGATCATGTGGGCCGGGGGTCGTCAGATCTTTTAGGGGGAAATTTAACATGAAGAAAAGGTTGGAGTGTTACACTGACGGCCAGGACCGTAGGGCACTGAGGACTGATTGGATGGAACATGAGATATGCACGGACGTAGTGGAACACTGAGATGAAAAGGTGCGTGGACACTGAAGATGGCCTGGTTGTATGTACACTGAACAGTGTCGTGTGACTGACTTCGTGTCGTGGAGCAGTTGATTGTAATTTATTATTATAAAAATGTTTTTTAATTTTTTTTTTAGCATAAGATATATATAAGTGACAGTAGTGTCAAGAGTTGTACCCTTGTAGGGTTTTTAATTAATTTGTAAAAATGCGATTTAATTTATTATAGAAACGTACATTTATTAATTATAGTTCCAATACCTTTTACCAAAATAGTTGATTTTTTTAATTTATAATTAATTATATTAATGTTGTGTATTTTGTATCCCGAACCCCTTTAATCAAAGAATAAATCTTTCATCTTCTTTAAAAATTTATTTTTTTGTAATAATGGGGGCCTGCCGGGAGGTAATGATTATCTAAATGATTTTGGACGATCATATCCGGATGACGGTTGGGATACATATTACTTGATCCTTTGGTTCGGTCTTTTAGTGGGGGTTTTTGCGGCCCCTGCCAAACTAGCGGTTAAATAGTTAACCTGCCGGCCGGCAGTAACCAATGGTGCGTCATCAAACCCAATGTGGGGCTGCTGAGCCGGCCTTAGGCAGTAAGAGCCTGAGTGCCTCACGGTACACACCTAAGCAGTAGGTACCTGACCACCAAAGGGTACACGTCTACTGGCTTTAGTAACGTATGTACCAGAGCGCCTCGCTGTACACACCTAAGCAGTGGGTCCCTTTGACCACCGAAGGGTACACGTCTACTGGCTTTAGAAATATTATGTAACCTGAGCGCCTCGCTGTACACACCTAAGCAGTAGGTACCTGACCACCGAAGGTTACACGTCTACTGGCTTTAGTAACAGTATGTACCAGAGCGCCTCGCTGTACACACCTAAGCAGTGGGTACCTGACCACCGAAGGTACACGTCTACTGGTTTTAAAAGTAACAGTATGTACCAGAGCGCCCTCGCTGTACACACCTAAGCAGTAGGTACCTGACCACCGAAGGGTACACGTCTACTGGCTTTAGAAATATTATGTACCTGAGCGCCTCGCTGTACACACCTAAGCAGTAGGTACCTGACCACCGAAGGGTACACGTCTACTGGCTTCAACATTAAGTACCTGAACTCCCCCAGGTACACGTCTATGCAGTAGGTACCTGACCACCGAATCGTACCTATCTACGGGCGTTAAAGAACCGCTCACCGCAGCTCACTGAGTCTGTTGGCCTCAGTTACTTGACGGCCGCATTCAGTGAGCTTGCAGCATGGTGTTTCGGCTAGCGGTGTGTCAACCGCCTTTGGAGAGGATTTACTTGACTACCGGTGATGTCTGTGGATCACCGTCTACGTTGATCAACTGTGGGCCGGAGTCGTTCAGATGCTTTTAGTGGGACATTTCATGAAGAAAAGGTTGGAGTGTTACACTGAACTGGGCCAGGACCGTAGTGTGACACCCGAGGACGATGATGGAGTGGAACACTGAGATATGCACAGGACCGTAGGTGGAACACTGAGATGAAAAGGGTCGTGGGACACGAAGATGGCCTGGTTGTAGTGTACACTGAACAGTGTCGTGTGACTGACTTCGTGTCGTGAGAGGCAGTTGATTGTAATTTATTTTTATAAAAATGTTATTTATAATTTATTGTTTTGCATAGAGATATATATATAGTGCAGTAGTGTCAAGAGTTGTACCTGTGTAGGGTTATTAATTATATTTTAGTAAAAGCGATTATAATTTATTATAGTAACATGTACATATTATTATATTAATAGTTCAAATACCTCTGACCAAAGATAGTTGATTTTTATATATTAAAGATTAATTTATATTAATGTGTGTATTTATGTATCCCGAACTCTTTATTACAAAAGAAGTAAATCTCTTCATCTTCATTTAAAAATTATTTTTTTGTAATACCCACCAATTAACCAAATCCACATCTCCAGGTGCTTCCCCCAACGTTCCCACTATGCCCAAAAACAAAGACTTTCCCCTCTTCAATAACTTTACATTTAATTTTCCAAAAAGATGGACCCCTTCTAGGCACACCCTCAATATCTACATCCATTACAACTCCTCTGTGATCCGAAAAAACCACATTTATCACATTCACTCTCCGCACGTAATCGCACTAACACGACATTCTATCCAATTCGCCGCATATCTCGTCTAATAAAGGTATGCTCCACCACCCACCCCCCCCCACAAACCATAAACCCAACTCGTCAAAAACTCCAGAACCCCAAGCAAACAACCCGCCCCTCGAGGCCCCACTTTTTTCGTTTTTTTTTTTTACCACAATTCCAGTCGCCCCTATTTTCGCTACTTTTGGTAAACTACGTAGATAATATACTAATACATCTTGTACAAAATGGTTTTAAGTCGTACATCCCCCCTGGGCCGGCCCATATACACATACAAAATTTTATGTGTGCTCTACCCCATAAACCATCCCCCCTAATCACTCTCCCCTCCCCCTTTCACTATGGCGTACCTACAAACGGGCTATTTTCCTTTACCAGAATGGCGACGCATCCTTTTAACCTCGTCGCATATTCCCTTACACTCATAACCATCCATTCTAACTCTATCCAATTCTGTAAATTTTGTTCTTGGATATATACCACATCCACTTTAGACGCATCAAAAATTCATTAAACCACTTTCGCTTCCGCTCAGATCTCAAACCGTTAACATTTTTTTGTCAAAACCTTAAAGTCAATTAATGGGGTTTCCCTTTTGTTTTTAGGTATAACTTTTTTACTTATACATTTTACACCACCTCTATCCCCCCCCCCCTTTTTTGGGAACCACCTTGATAACCCTTGTTTCGTGGATTCACTGTTCCCTGTCCTCTGTACATCCGCCCAAGACTTTTTCCCTGGCCCTTTTGGCAGGAGTAAGCACGTCGTCTGAGTCTGATGGGTCGCAGTTCGCTTTCCCCGTCCTACCTCCACCTGCATTGGGATTTCTTTAGTACTATCGTGATGCACCTCCACTTTTTGCTACATTTACCGTCATACCATGCGCAACACTAGACTCAATGCTTCCATCCGTCGCCCCACCCTGATGTTCAACCGATCCCAAAATTGCACCTGGATCCTCCACACAGTTGACGATCGACCATCTAACAAAACATCCAGTGCCTTCATAAAGACGCCGCTACATCCTCTTCCCCCATAGTGGGCAGAGTCTCTTCAAATACTTTATTTATGTCCAGTGACGGTGATTCTTCTCGCTGTTTTGCATCTCCAAAGCATTCTCCTGCGCTTTTTCTACCTCTTCCCCTCCAAGTGACCGTTGTAGAGACGGATGAGCATAAGACTTTCTCGTCCCTCATCCCCGACCTCTTCCGATTGTTGCTGTTGTGTATTTGGATTCCCCCCGACCTTACCCACTGTGCCGTAGTGGGCATACGACCCACACAGCCCCGACATTTTAACGAAAAATCCTTTCGCCCCCATTAAGTGCTACACCCCAACTCTTCATTTGCGATCCCGTGGGTACACGGATAATCCCGGTAAACAAACCATCGTGGCTCCCGTACAGCCCCACGGGTCAACTCAACGAAACAGTTTTTGAGCCCCTTTTTGCTATGGCCCTGTGGAAAATGAGCAGCACACCCCCTCACTAAAAAATGGCTGTTGACAACTGATGTAGCCGCCTGAAACAGCAAGGGTGCAAGCACAACCGCACTCTACCTGGTCGGCAGCAAATGATTTGCAAATAATCCGCCAAACTCGACTCGTCTAGGGGCATAATTATTCGCTTGCACGTACGTTTGCAGAATTCCCCCAAGAAACGTTAATTTGCGGGGAACGCTACATGCCAGTACGTTCAGAATACGCAACAAGCAAACCCGACTGAAAAATTCTCCACCCGAACGGGAGTAAAAACTGACACGAAATTTTTGTAAAGAAAATCCCAGACAGTTAACATGTTCAGAAATTGACCGTGCGAAGCGGCCACCGAAAAGCTAGTAGCGATTTTGAACGATACAAAATGCAAGGCTGACAAAACAGAAACTGAAACCAAAATTGTAAAGCGTAGGCAAAGCTAATGAAATCCGACAGAACTGCCCAATTTTCCCTGCTACGAGCTTCCCCCTAAGCCAACCTTTCTCTAAGTCCAGCTCCAGCTCTCGGACAGGTCCTATTACAACCAGGATTCCCAAAATGGCCTTTTACCCCCGGGTGTAATGGGAAAAAATAAACACAGCAGAAAAATTTTTTTATACTTATATTATCCTTCCCCAAATTTGAACAGCAATAGTACATATGTACGTGTAATATAGTGACTCCCGGTAACAAGGCAGAAAAAAGAAGCCACAAGAAGCGACAGGCTTTCACCCAGGAGGCCGGGGGTTTGATTTCCCCCTGGGAACCCGGTTTGGTCTTTCTGCAGGATCGTGGGGCTTAACCACTGCATTGGAGGCAAGGGTTGGCGATCCTTCGAAATAACCCCCCCTTGTCCCGGGGGTCCCCTTCTCTTTTTAACGCCTGGCATGGCAGAGGGCAACCTTGGGGAATAATTTCCGCCCGGGGGGGAAAAGTCTACGTCAGCCCCTAAGTCCCTGGGGGCCCCGCTTTTTAACATATGGTCACCTGTGGAGAGGGAAAAATATCTGGTGCCTCGACAACAGTATCCCGGGGGACACCACCGAACGACACCATTTGCAACGAGAGGGTAAAGGGGAAGCCCGTCGTCGCGCCTCTGTAACAAAGTAGGTCATTCCCATTCTAGAGCTGGTTGAAACACGGTCTGCTATCTTGTGGCTTCTATTTCTGCTTTGCTTACCGTGGAGTGCACTATACTTATCACTGTACATAGTGTACATATTGCTGTTCTAAATTGGTGAAGGATAATATAAGTCTAAACTTTTTCTACTGTGTTTATTTTGCTCCCATTACACCCGGGATAACAGGCCATTTGGAATCCTGGGTTGTAATAGATTTCAGACATAGTTCATATCTGTGAAGGCTCCAGAGGGGTGGTCACAGTCGCTCAATTAACAGCGTAATAACCTCATTTGATATTTGAAGAGAAATGTGAAATCTTTCTTGAGAATTAAACAAAAATATAAGAAATTTCTTCTTGAATTAAATCCCTAACACAACAAAAGTGGTGATTTCCCAGGGAATTACCTTCTATTCTGCCAGGTGTGTAGCCAGTCAGAAATGGCTGAGCAAAACCGCTTACTTAGACAGAAGAAAAGGTCGACGGTGCAACCATAATTTGGCTAATAATGTGAGAAGTTTACTATACACTTTCGGTTGCCAGTTCTAGATCAGATACAACAACTAACAGTACTTCCACTATCAATCAGTTGATCCAATTTCCTTTCGGTATAGTGACAACAATATTCACCGTATCATATCAGCTGGATGGAATTTCACCAAATGAAAACATATCCCCACTATTTAAGTTAAAATAAATGGAGGTTAAGTGGTATTTAGCTTAGATCCTAGGAAAGAGAAAGCCGCTCTGATTCCTTAGATAAGGAGACCTTTAAAAGTATCAAGGCTTACCTGCAAGGTGGTGGTGATGGAGGGCCTTCATAACAAAGTAGAGTGGTGATAATGATAATGGAGGGTCCTTATAACAGAGGAGAGTGGTGATGGACAAGGAGTCTTTACCTGGTTCATGTTACTGGTGGTGTGCTGGTGAAGAGCCGAGGTAATGGTGGGGTGCAGCGGCAGTTCCTCCAACAATGTTCGGCCTCCGTCAATTTCATCGGCTCTTAAACACGAATAACTCATAATAACGCTCTGATAAAGTACATAACTGCCCTAAGACACTGCCTGACTATCTTAGGCTACAGCCGTCACCCAGACAGAAAGATTTAGTCGTGTTCCTGCCTGACTGAGTTAGGATCAACAGTAATCTTCGCTATGACAGACTGGGGTAACAGTGTAGCCGTTTGCCTTGTCTGAGGTGTGACTTTGTCTTCGCCCTGAGAGACTGACTAAGGTTCTAATCATCTTCCCGCCCTACTGAGTCAATGTCTAATTGTTTATATGTCTGGCTTGGTAATGGCTTATTATCTCCAGACAATTAAAACATACATTAGCCATTTCTCTGTTTGACTGGGTTATACTCTAGCGTTTACTCTGCCTGACTGGTTTAGAATGTTAAGAATTCCCCAAACCTCTACACTGCTTGGGCTTAAACCTCTAATACCTTAGACCCGTCCTTAGATGTACCACGTCGGTATCACAAATACCCTACAAGAATTGATGTGTTACTAAGAGTTTAAAACCTTTGCAGTGTCTTTGCAGACGGTCAACTGACAATTTATTGACAAGTTTTTTAATATAAATAATGATAAATGTTTTGCAGTGTAGCTTACGTACATAGCCGACAAAAACGCTAAGTCCTTACGTTTAAGACTTTTGAGATAGAAAGTCAGCATTCCCAAGCTTAAGCTGCAGTCTTATGTCTAGTGTTAAGTTTAGCTGAGGGAGAAGAGAAAACACCAGTGAGAACATACCAATATTGTTTATATGTAACACTGGAAAGTAATTTTTACTTCTATTTAGATTAAAAGAAGAAAGAGATGGAAAGTGAGTGTCTTCCGCTACTCCCAGCTGTGATAAGAAGCATGAGTTAGAATCCAGTGAGGTGCTGGTGAGGGGTCGAGATAGCAAGGAGTTACAAATGGGATAACTTGCCTGGGAGAGGCAGAATTAAATGAGGGATTGATGTAGAGTCAAGCTATTAACAGTTACACGAAGGAAACACTTCACGGAAGTTGAAGCTAGTAACAGTTATGGGTGGAAGAAACTGCCTGGGAGACAGTCCTGAGCAAAAATCAGAAGCAATATAGAGGTCTCAGGGTGAAGGCTAAGTGCTGCCATCTTGGCTCAGTGACCTGTGTATGTAACTTTGTTCTGTTAATAGTATAATTGTAAAGGATGCATTCAGTGTTTATTTAGTTATTCCTACCTAATATTAAGTAGTTGTCATTCTAAGTTTATCAAATAAAAGGGAGTTATTTTTGCTTAGATATTGTTGGAAAGAGTTAGGTGCTTATTAACCCACGATTCTTGGAAAATATGCAAACATAAGATGCAGTGTAAACCACTACAAACACTGACACGTTCAGAAATGTTGTTGGATGTAAGCAGTTAGGAAAAAAGTGTGAGAGGTGAAAACCAAGTTTTGAGTTAGTAAGTTATCTTAGTAATACCTAAGTTATGAACAATAACAACTTGGCCAGCTACCACATGTTATGCCTCAAGAACTAAAGATGAGTTACTGATACTGATTAATGAGTGATTAGTGAATTAAAGTAATTAATTAATTGACGATTAAAGGGTTTAGTTCATTTAATCCTGGCTTCGAGAAAAATTCTTCTGGTTTGCGATTAAGTGACGGGGGATAAAGCCTTCACCTTTCTTTGCGCTGAATAACAACCAATGGTTTAGCGTTTAATATGAATATAGAATTGTAGTAACCAGGGAAACCTATTTACAGTTACTCATTTTAACATTAAAATTTGATTTTTAATCAAATTCCCACATGATTTTTACGAAGGTTAGCGAGCACATGTCTACACGTCTCACTCTACACACTTCCCAAAGTCAAATTTAATATAGCTTACCCTACACAGCTAAGCCTATATAGTTATTATTGACATTAATGATATTTAGTACCGACAAACTGATGAATAAGATACACGTGTAACATCTGGGTATCTTGACTGAGGTAGTGAACACCTGCTATCAAGGTTGAGGGACTGACCACCTCAAATTACCACTCTACTTGTACCATCTCCAATGTTTACTCTTCGTACTGGATTCAAAAAACCACAGATTGGCGAAACATCTCTGTCAATCAAGGTACTCAGATGTTAATTAAACATCTATGCAAAGTCCAAAGAACTAAGTCTACATGTAATCCAGTACTTGTAATACCAAACAGTACCTATATATTACCTTAGAGTTAGTTTTTTGAAGTCCCACTTAAGTTTGGAGAGCTTCTGCTGGAGAAGCGCCGCTTGGTTCTCCATGGCTGACCTACGACGGTCAGCTGCCTCCTTCTGTGCTCGCTGCTCCAGGCTGGGCGCCGCCCCGCTCACACCCACACCTCGCACACCCTCCACACACACATTATTATTATTCCTGCACTTGATCAGCACCTACTATCATTAAACAAGCTGCATGCTAATCACATGTTTATTGAGGTACAAAATTAAATAATTCAATTTACTGAGAGAAAGTATATAGAGTAAACTTGTAACTTGGTACCTCATCAGCCACAGACCTCACAGTGGCGCTTGAAGGTACAAGCAACCAGTCTGTTGTGTTAGTACACCAATGTTTTTGGAATATACTCTAAAGTACAGAATCGTGGGCAAGAGGCAATCATTATCAGACTGGATCTAACTAGAGGTTCTCTCATAACTGTAACTTCTTAAATTAGGTTAACTGGAAGGGAAGGTATACCTTCTTAATTCTCTTCCCGTTGAAGCTGCAGCGTTTTCCTAGTATTTGTTTGGTTAAACTGGCTATAGGTCCCTCAAAACAGCCACCAAAGTGTGCTTTATATCAACATCTCACTGTGTGCAGTTGTGCTGCGGCAACTTTAAATGCTTCACGATGAAGAGAGTTGTCGAATATTGCTGCTTCTGTGATTGATCGGGAATTCTTTCTCTTAATATCATTGCAAGCAAACAACGGTACGGGGGGGGGGATCGAACTCATGGCAGGTGAGTCTTAAAACTCCAGGTCACTGGGCCAGCTAGCTACAATAACATTCATCCAACTAGGAATATTTATACACCATAGGAAGGTTAAAATGGGTCCCACTGGGACCCATTTTAACCTCCGCAGCCGTAGTTGTCTGTTGTACTCACACTCACCAAGTGATGCAGTTGTGTCTGTTGTACTCACACTCACCAAGTGACGCAGCTGTGTCTGTTGTGCTCACACTCACCAAGTGACGCAGCTGTGTCTGCGTCTCCTGTGGCAGCGGAAATGACGCTCCCCGAGCTCTGTAGAGGTACAAGTCGCCGCCTGCCACCCAAGCTGCCGCCCAGGTGCCGTCGTCGCTAACACTCGCTACCACCACACCACGACGCCGACTTACACTCTCAATACGACTCACACAAAAGTCTTCATGGAAATCACATGAAGAAATAAATAATCTATTTAAAAGAAAATATTTTTGAGCATTTTTCCGCCGACTACAATAGTCTAACATTAACAGACGTAGATCTATGAACTGTAACTGAGCCTAAAATGTCAGACTAATTCCCTAGGAAACCATTCAAATTTAATTTATTATAACAGGAGTTTTAGTTATTAACCTTCACAGACATTATTAGGTGTATATGATGTCTCATAAAATAAGGTTTAACGACACTAACAAGGACTTTGTTTTCTACAAACAAGCACCATAGTATTCACAATTAGATCATAGAAACACTTTTTTTTTTTTTATTCGCCGGTATTCTCCCGGCCCGGGTCTTTTCCAAGTAGTGGTGACCCGGCCTTGGTTCCCTATCTGGGGAGTGTCTCGAGACTTAAGTCTCCCATGGGAGGAGGTACAGTACCTCCTCATCTTTGGGACCAACTGTCCCCAGGCCTAGCAACATTTCCCGCCCTCACGGGGCTCGTAGGGAGAAGCTAGGCCTCTGGTCTGCCATCTGCCCCGCCCTAAAAGGGCTCGTGGGGATGGCAGTCTTATGAGCTGCAGATGGTAGCTAGCTCAGGCTTGTAATCAAGACTCACGAAATCGTAATGACACGATTGTAAACAAACCATACCCCGGCCGGGACTGAACTCGCGGTCAGAGAGTTTCAAAACTCCAGACGCGACGGTCTGGAGTTTTGAGACTCTCTGACCGCGGGTTCAATCCCGGCCGGGGTATGGACTGTAATCAATCCTCAGGACATTGTATTACCAACTATGCTACTGAAAATCTAGGCTTTATAAATTAGAAACACGAAGTCCATTACAGCTGTACTTCACTAATATTTCTACACACCAGGGTAGTGTGCAAATTAACTGGGACAGGATTAAATTTTGTGATTATCTCATAATATGTCTTAGTCTCCCGCTTAATTAATGTAATCTGGGTTCTTTTCTGAGGACTTTGCTACTGACTTTTGGCAACCATCCAGCAGTAGTGTTACCCTCACACTCGCCAGGGCTACAACAGCTGTTGATCTGTAAGGTTATGCCTGCAAGCATGCTTCGTGGTTTTGCCACATTCTTCCTTTCAATTCATGATTACTGTTGAAATTCACGATGGATGTTACACCTAGGAAGCGTGCAAGTATTGTAGCTCTTAGAAAACATGTTGATGTGAGTATCAGACAGATCGCCGAAAATGAGCCTAGTAAAGTCAACTGTTGCTCGGATTCTGAAGAGAGCTGGCAACACTGGTAATTATGGAGCGCTGCGTCGGTGAAGATATGGCAGAAATGCAAGACAACACCTCACTATGACAAGGTTATTATAAGAAATAGTGTGAAGGATCCCAAGAAAACCAGCAAAGATCTACAGAGAGATTTGGCTTCAGCTGTCGTAAATGTTGATTCTTCAACTGTTTGACGAAGGCTCCTTCGAGTGGGCAGAACTGCCAGAAAGCCAGTAAAGAAACAAACAATTACTGACTGTTACTATGAAGAAAAAAACGGCTGTGGTGGGCACTCGATCATAGAGGATGGACGATAAATGAATGGAGAAATGGAGAAAAGTTACAATTTCAGATGAGGTGCATATTGAAATACATGGGTACAGATAAGTGGTAGTGAGACGGAACAAATGCGAACTTCTTCGGAATGGATACAATCAACAAGTATCAAAACACCCACCTAAGATGATGTTTTGCGGGTAGTTTTACTGCTAAAGGCGCTGGACGGCTAGTTATCGTTGAGGGAACGATGGACAGTGACATATAGAAGACAATTCCGGTTAGGTTAGGTTAGGTAAGGTTCGTCAGGAAACAGGACAAATGTTTCCTGACGCGGGTCTTAGTCAGAAACAATTCCGGTAAATCATTTGCATCCCATTGCGTATAGAGACTTTCCTAATGGAGAAGACATTTTCAAACAGGATCTTGCTCCATGCCACACTTCCAGAAAAATGCTGGCATTCTTCAAAGGGGGTGAGTTAAGCGTTCTAAATTGGCCTGGAAACTCTCCTGACCTCAACCCAATTGAGAATCTATGAACAATAACCAGACACAGTATCGCAAAATAGGACTGTTCAACTGTGAAGTTAATTGCTGCTGTTATTAAGACCTGGTACCAACACAAAGAACCTGCCAAAACGTTTTCAACATTGGTCAATTCTATGCCAAAGCGCGTAGCAATATACTTATAAAAACAAAAGGCAGTCATCTCTTATTAAATCAATTATCTGTTGTATCATTACTGTGCATTTTTTAAATAAACAATAATTTTTAAAAAAAATGTTTTATTTGATCACTGTCCCAATTAATATGCACACTAGTGTACAGTCTATATTTCAGACTATAGCCCCAAAAATGTTTTTATTGCACATTTCAACGTTTCAGGGGATTTTCCATTAAACAACTGGGGTTCAAAACAACCCAAAAAATAAACACTAGGGTAAAAAGGCATTTTCGGAAAAAAACCAATACCTACTTAAAAACAAAATTTAAACCCAATACTAGCGGGGGCAAGCTTCCAAATTTCGGGTTTTGGGAAACGCCCTTTTTCCCCTTTTAAAAAACCGGGTTTCTCACCAAAACCCCGGTTTAAACATTTTGTGGCACCGGGGCTACAGGAAACGTGGGGGGCCCCCTAGGAAAATTTTAAAAAAGGAAAAAATTTTAAAAAAAAATATCAAATTTATTTTTAAAAGGACTAACCCCCATTAAATTTCAAACATTTGTTTTGGGCGTAATTTTTGGGGGAAAAAAAATTTCCCTCCAAAAAAATCGTTAAGTTGAGAACACCTTGGAGGCCCCCCCAGCTGACAGAGGCCCCGGGGCTGCACCCCCTAAAGCCCATTTCTTAATCCCCCCCTCTTCCCCACCCCTTTTCCCTTTTAAAAATTTTTGGTTTTGCAGTTTTGGGGGGTCATTTTCAAGTTCTGTCTGGGGTTGGGGAGGGCTAGTCCCCGGGCCTGAGACTCTGGCTGTAGTTTTTCGGAATGGTGAATGTGGCCAGTGGGGCCAAACCCACCCCCGTTACTCCTTTTAAAACCTTTTTCCAACCTTCAGGTCGGTTTTGGCAAAAAAGAAAAATAAAAAAAAAAAAAAGGTCGCCAATAATTTTTTTAAAACAAAATTTTATGTGAAATTGGCAAAAAATTTCATTTAAAAAATTGTAATATTTGTAAACGGGGAATTTTAACAAAAAATTTTAACATAAAAAAAATTTAAAACAACTATCAATAAAGAAAGTTTTAAAACCAAAGTTACCCAAATTTATCTAAGGAGAAAAACAATTCAAAAGGGGGCTTAGTTTATAAAATTTTCTAGCCTTTCCCCTCATTTTCCATTTTAAAATACGAGATTCACCCAATCAAAAAAAACAGCTAATCCAGGGGGGGCCCCCATTTTAAATTTAAAACGGGCCCTTTTTGGGTATGGTTAAAAACTCTTAAACTGATAACCCAAAACAGTAAAAACGACATATATTTTTGAAATTTAAATTAAAAAAAATTTTAAGGTGCGTTCTGCATTTTCTGAAATTTCAGTGACATTTTTCCAAGATTTTGAGCAAAAAATTATTTTTGCCTTTTCGACAAGATCAAAAATTTTAAAAACTTTTGGCGGGTTTTAAAAGGAAAAACAATATATTGCAAAAAGGGTGATGCTGATGATAACAGCACTGCATGCTTGCTAGGTTTTATTTTTTTTGAAAAGGAAGTGTCCTCCCAAATGGGCTTCAGTGAGGGGGCCTGATATAAATCTGGTATGGCTGAGTAACTACAGTTACGAGAAGATAATTCTAGACGGGCAGGGGCCGTTTTTTAAATTGGAAACGGTAAAAACCGGGGGTAAAAGTTTGTTCCTTGGGTAGCGGGGGAGAGTGATTTTGGGGGCAAATTTTTTTTTTTTGCTAGTTGTTTGAGAAGCCGTGCCTGGGGATGGGCCTCCCAAGTCTAAAGCAGTTTTCCCCCTTTTTTATTTCCCTTAAGCAAAAAATTAAATTTCACCGATTTGAAAAACTCTGGGAGTAGTGTTTCAAAACCAAAAAAACTGAAAAATTTAAACTTCTTATTTTGTTCTTCTCTTTTTAATAAAGTTACAAAAAAAATCTTAAAAAAAATTTAAGTTTAAAACATGAATTACCCCCAAAATGGTTTACAATACCGCAGGTTTAAACTTTGTGCAACAGTTATCAGTCCATCAAAAAGCAATCCAGCCCAAAAAACCTTTAAACCCGACGGACCATTACATCCCCTTTCCCCAAAACCTCACTGCCCCTGACTTTTTTTTTCTGTTTTCCCAAGTGAAGAATTTATTACAAAACCAGGTAAACCAAAGGGCCTGAAAGGGACCGGCCCGTAATAAAAATTTGGAACAAAAACCACCATTTAAAACTAAAATTTGTATATTTCCCTTCCCCCAACTTTATACGGGAAATGTACTTTATGTTACAGAAGAAAAAATTTTCACCAGGGGTGCAGAGGGAAAAAGGCAGAAGCCAGGGAGAGTGCACCATATTTAAAAAAACCAGCAGGTAGGAAAGGGTCTGCCCAACCCTTTCCCCGGGCAAGTGAACCATGTTGTTTCCCTTTTTATGGGGCCCGAAAATCTCAGAGGAAACAGCCCCAAAGGGCCCGGGAAAAGGGAAAAACCCCCCAAAAATAAACTATTCAACAAGTGTAGCCAGGAGGACCCCAAAGCCCAGCAACCCCCCCTCTCACCCCCGCTCAAGGCAAAACCAAACAATAACAACAAACATGGCTGCCACCAGCCACCCCAAACCCCTCTTTTCCCCCCCCGGTTTTAAAACCTCCCAATTAGTCCCCTTCAGGTATCCCAAACAATCCAGATACCCAAAGTCATGCTTTCCCCCTTATTTAAATTAAAAAATATGAATCTTCGAGAGAGCTAACAAAAAAAAGGGACACCAGGATGACAAAAACTCGAAACTTTTCCCTCATCTTTTGAACAAAAGTTATCAAAAACCCAGGAATAAAACAAACTTGGCAGCCCAACCCAAAACAGTCTAGATAGCCGAAAGAACAAAATAAAATCTTTTAAAATACAAAGGTTAAAGGGAAGCATTAAAAAAATGGAAGAAAAAATTTAAAACCATTTCGGGTGATACTTTGCTCCCCCAAAGGAAGAAAAAAACTGAAAAGAAAAAACTGTAAAAATTTTGGGTGGGGGCCCTCCCTCCAATTTGAGTCCCCCTACCCCTGGAAACTCTTTTGGACACTGAGTCTGGGGTGGATACCTAAACCTCA